GTGAGATCTTGTTCGCATACTATCAGTTCTGGGAGGCAAACTGGTAGCAGTGTCTGTTTTCTAGACAGAGAGAGATGGCAGGTGAAATACTTTCCCGTCTTGACTTACAAGTCTTCATCTTTCTGGATATTTTGAGTGAGCCGTCCAACCTCCAAAGAGTGATTTTTCCACCCCTTGGCTGTGAGGTTTGCTTTTTGGGCCCGTGTTACTCTGCAGTCTCTTTTCCCATACTTTTAGGAAAGATGGGCAAGGCAGAGGAAGATGGGGCGGTTGTTAATTACAGATGCGTCAGTTACAGAAATCCCAGACCTGCCCAGAGTAGAGGTGGAGGCACATAGGCTGTTTGCTGCCGTCCTCCAAGTCCTGTCCAACGGTTTATTTTCCAAAGCCTTTGGAATGAAATGGCATCAGGTGCTGTTTCAGAGTCTGCTTTTAGTCATCTTTTGAAGCATTTTCCATGCCTCAGTGAAAGTTTTAATGCTGGTGTGTAATTCCCATCTATTTTATGTGGAGGCATACCAGCTCTTTCTTAATTTACAACCGAAGTGCTGGCTATGACAGGCAACGTAATGCAAGATATTTTAAACTCTTGCTTCTGGATGATTAACTCTTCAAAATGCTTGAGATAAGATCATGGGTTTAATCCCTGGTAATTGCCAAGGCTGCATCTGTAACCCTCGCAAATAGCATCAAAGCTGTACATTGGTCGCAAAACTGGAAAAACAAAATCCTCAAAGAATCTTTCCCTATTAATAATAGCTCACGTGGGGGATACCACCATCTCTCCAGGTAAATGAACAAACGACAAAAACCCAAACTATCATTAAAGGCCTTCCTTCACTAGAATCTTTTTCTTGGAACTGAAGAGGGATCTTCCTTTGGTCCTAAAATACTCACACACACACCTAAAATACTCTGCCCCTCAAAACTAGCATATTTTGATTGCATGCATACATTTCTGCTTCCTCCATTAAAGTGAAAAACTCCCAGCCAAACAGACTGGGAAACCACTCATAGGAAAATGTCATGTCCATGTGTGTCTTTCCTCACACTGTTTCCTAGTAGTGCCTTTTTAGTCCTTGCTCTGGGAACTGGCCCTTCCGTCTTTTTCCCTCATTGCAGTGAGTTCATTGCAGAACCCAAAGCACCAGACCCGTTTTCCAAGGAAAACCAGATAAATTAAATGGGATTTATAGCTCACCCAGAAGATCATTAGGATTGGCTGGACCTGGCTTAGGTTTGCACCTTCAGAGAGAAATAAAAGCACCTGGGGGACTTACTTGGGCAGTAGGATGGGATCCTCTGGGTCAGTGAGGAGGTGGTTTCTTTTTTTTCTTTTTTTTTTTTTTTTTTTTTATTTTATTTATTTGTTTGACAGAGATCACAAGTAGGCAGAGAGGCAGGCAGAGAGAGAGGAGGAAGCAGGCTCCCCGCTGAGTAGAGAGCCCGATGCGGGGCTCGATCCCAGGACCCTGAGATCATGACCTGAGCCGAAGGCAGAGGCTTAACCCACTGAGCCACCCAGGTGCCCCGAGGAGGTGGTTTCTATTTGGAATCACTCTACCACAGTCTCCTGAACTATGTGGCAGTGGTTAGCAGGGGAACTCAGCTTTCAGGATTCAGCGGGAGTTTTAAGTTGGCAAGTCAGTTATGAGCCAGCCTGGTGTGGTCCCAGCTGGGCATCCTAATGGGATTAATGGTCCCTTGGCTAATACACAGGAGGTTGATCAGTGCACCTTGCTAGTTTCAGGGAGATGTTCATTTCTTGTGCCTTTTCCTGGGAGCCACTGTATAGACATGGCGGCATAAACCCATGCAGGGAGAACTTTGAGACCGGGTCTTTTTTCTCTGTTGAATACTCCAGGGGAGGATATAACTAGAGGGAAAACGGCGGAGGTGGTACGGTGGCAATGGAGGAAGTTACCTGGTGGGGATCTGGTCAATGGATTTCCTTTCCCACGAGATAACAGAATTCAGCATCTCTAAAATTGGGTTATTCTGATATCTTCCAGGTTACCTGCCTCTCTCACTTCGCCCTTGTGCCGGACACCCCATCTCTTGAGTAGTTATGTAGTTATCTCATTGGATAAATGCAGAGTAGTTCACTCAAATATTCTGTGACCTCTGCAAAATACCACATTGCAGCAACAAAAACACTTTATGCCATGAATTAGGTTTTTGCAGTAGAAGTGGTTTATGTTGTGATTCACAGCTCTGTGCTGTTCATTGTGGCTCAAGACTGTTACTGTGATTTCTCTTGTACCTCATCCTCCTTTTCATCATAGGCACGTGAGCGCTTGTGTCTGTGTATATGCAAGTGCGTGTGTCTGCCATGGAATATTCTTAGTGTGCTTTTGGGGGAAGATCAGGTCTGATTTAATGATTGGGTGGGTCAGAGTGAGAAAAGGAAATTTAAAATACTAGCCTTGAAAGCACAGGAGTAGTAAAAATTTTAAAAATTTTTGTTTTGGGAGGGGGGCAAAATTGGTTGTAGAATGTGGATGCAGTGGACCCGTTCTGTTTTGAATGTTACTCATTGGAGCGCATGTTGTCATGTGAATGAAGTATAGATCATGAAATTATACTCCCAAAAGTTAATAAATCATGGTTTGACCTGTTAAGCAATTGCAAAGCTTGTCTTCCCTTTCTCCACCCAGGCTTATGAAAGGGCTCTTTTCCAATGAAAATAACTATTACATAGCATGTAACTATTTACATATGTTACCTCATTTATTCTATGCACTCACTCCTAGCCACCCGAAAGGCAGTGGCATACCCTGTGCACCATACAGGAATTCAGTAGAAGGCAGAATTGCCTTGGACCCTTTTCAGACAGTTTATTAAATTAAGTACCCAGATTACCTCATTTTCAGGTTGGCTTAAGCCTATATCATAGATCCCCTGGGACAGCATCAGGGTGATAGTCCAGTGCCCCTAACACCCGTAAACCTCTAAATAAAATCTTAGGGGAGGCACTATTTTGCGATTTATTTTTTTCTTAAACCTTTTAGGTTTTTATGTTATTTATAGGCCTTCCAGCTTCTCCTTTTGCCTGCTTTTTCTCATTTATTTTCAGATAACTTCTGTTTTCTAATTCTGTGGTTCATAGACATGCCAGGAGTGCTGGTGAAAAAGATTCTTGAGACTTGCCTGCTTCCATTTACCCATGGTGGTGATGGTGGCAATGGTTGTGGGTTTTGGTGGTGGTGATGGTTGTGGTGGTGGTGGTGGTTGTGGTGGTGGTGGTGATGATAATGATGGTGGTGGTGGTGGTGATGTGGTGTTGATGATGGTGGTGATGGTGATGGTGATGATGATAGTGGTCATGGTGGTGATGGTGATGGTGATGATGATGGCGGTCATGGTGGTGGTGACGATGGTGATGGTGGTGGTTGTGATGAGGGTGATGATAACAGTAGCAGTGACAGAAAGCTCCACTTCAGCTCCACTGCTGAAGTAGTTATTAACGTGTGCTGTGCGCACAGTTCAAGACATGATCTCATTTATGCCCCTCACAGCCTGTGGGCGATGGTTGTACGCATCATCCCCATCTTACAGATGAGAAAGTTTTGATACTCTGGAGGCTCAGCAACTTGTATGGAGTTATTAAGATAGTGCAAACGCCGTGAGAGGAATGGACTTCACAGCCTGTTTTCCTTCTGTCCAGCCACATTTCATTTCCTCTACATCATCCATCACATTGGAACAACTAACAGACTCCCTGGAAGCTGGAAAGTGAATGGTAGAGTCAGAATTCACTCAAGCAATTGGTCCAAGCTGATGGAAATCGAACCTTGGCTCTGTTTGCTGGCATTCTGTTGCTCAAGAAATGCATAGATTCCTCCTGTGAACTTGCCCTTTAGAACCTCCTGGAGTTAAGCTGATGAAGTCCTTGTTCTCCTCTGAAGGCACGTGCATTTGCAAATATCCTGTAGGGTATGTGGGTCCTTTAAGCAAGGACATGTCTGGTTTTCTAGTGAAGTCAGAGTCAAAACTTTTATTACAGATTTTGGTAGGGTTGTGGCAAGGATTGATCTGTGCTCTTGTTGAGGAGACAGCCAGATGCGGTGGGAACATCGGCACAAGAATGCCTTTGGAAATTAAACATTGCAATGAAAACATTCTTTTGAAGGCAGATTTCCAGGTGTGCTGTAAACCGTTCTAAGCTATAATTGAAATCTAAAAGAATATTTCAAAAGCAGTGATCTATTTTTTGGTGATTGTTGTGCTAATCCTGAAATCCTAGCATGAATTAATGTAAAGACAGGATTGGATGCATAAAAGTACCCGTTTTAATCATTTAGCACGTTGTTCAAAACTAAACTGGTTGAGGCTTCACGTCTAAGGGTGAAAATCTCACTTTCATCTATCAAATCCCACCATAATCTGCCAAGAACAGCCACCAGGGGCTCCTGCGGCAGCTGTGAAGACATCCTTCTATTCTCAAAGCTTGATGTGGGGGAGAGATTTGCTGCAGTTCATGTATAATGAAGTGGGAGAGGCCGATGTTTTTCAAAGTACTTCATAAAACTCAAAACGAGTGAATCCGTTTTCTGTTAAACTCTGGAACTGGTGTGTGGAACCAGCCTACAATGTGGAAGCCTTCAGCTGGCAGAAGGTTTTGTCTTAGGAGTTGAGTAATAAGTTACTTTGCAGCAGGTGCAAGAAATGTGTTTGCCTTTGCCAGCATGTTCCGCGTGAGACGGTGAGGCGCTCAGAAGGCATGGGAAAGTCAGCCTTGGGAGCCTAGGAGAAAAGCCAACACTTGCCCCCACCCTGTCCCCACCCCCTTACCAAACACAGGAGCACCGGTACCTACGTGGTCCAGCGGTAACCGTGGGTACGATACTCAGTGTAGACCGTGTGCGAGTGCTTTCTTTGAGCTAGCCCCAAAGTTAGAAAGATCCTCAAGTGTGAGCTGGGAGACCAAATGTTACACGAGGTGCTGGAGTCTTGCCCCCCACAAGCTGAAACTGATGCTGTTTTACCCTTTTATCTAGACGCACTACTTTGGCCTTTGGTTTCTCAGCAAGAGCCAGCAAGCACGATGGGTGGAGCTGGAGAAACCTCTGAAGAAACATCTGGACAAGTTTGCTAATGAGCCTCTGCTTTTCTTCGGAGTCATGTTCTATGTGCCAAATGTGTCGTGGCTGCAGCAAGAGGCCACAAGGTAGGTGCATTTCTTCCTGAGTTCCGTGTAAGGGTGTGGATTAACCGCGGGGCTTCAGATGAAGTCGATGAGCAGGTTGATGGAGGGGTATGTAGGTGTGCAGGGGGGAGGAGTGGGGAGCCGTTGGGGATTGTTTACCGGTTGCTTTGCAGCTTTAGAATTGTGGTTTGAATCCGTGGTGCTCATAACCCCAATCGGTCCCTGTGATGCTAGTAAGGTAGCAAGGATCCTGAGGCTGAATGAGGTTGAATGTGGTGTCCAGCCATGTAGAAGCGTCCATTGGAGACTGTGGGTAGAATAGATGTGCCAGGATTTCGTAAAGAATTAACCACCTTGTACTTGTTTGATCTACCCTTTCCCTTAAAATGCTCCCAAGCAAAATGTAGCAACAGATTTTCGATTTGAGAAGGTAATTGACGATGGGAGCAGAGTTGAGGAGGATGTTGAGAGGGCGAGAGTTTTGCTTGTCCTTGGTCACAGAAGAAGGGACAGGAAGCCATTGGTAGAGAGGAGACCTGGTATCGGGCCTCCCCTCCTGCTCGTGGGCTGTTTTCCCTCAAAGAAACCACCTGCCATCCTTGAAATGGCACTTTTCCCTCATCTGTAAAGTGAGGGATTTCCTGTGTTTCTCAAGTTCTGCTAAGTGTGCAGTTCCATGAATGAAACAGTTGGTGTTGGCTGGTGTTAGTGCAGTTCCCTTATTGGTCAGAGTTTTGCATTAAACTATGCAGAGGGGTCATATCTCATCAAATGGTTCTTTCTGTAATAAAGGAAATTGAATTAACCCTCTCTTGCTCACCTTTTACTTGGATGATGGCATTTGGAGTACTTGGGAAGCAATGCTAGCGACATCCTGAGAAGGAAGGAACAGTCTTGACTACTGCACGTGTTTCTTAGATTTTATACTTTTAAGACAAGGAGGCACTTAAAATTTTTATATACATTTTACGGTGATAGTTGGCATCTTCTTTTTTTTTTTTTTTTTAAATCAAAAACTACTATTAACTAGGAGCTCTTTCTGTCAGCAGAGGCCATGAAATAGCTCACAGCCTCATCCAGAAACCCGTGTTCAGTCTCCCAACTGTCATTTGTTTGGGTGGACGCTGTGCACCATTTTCAAGTTTGTTCGCTTACGTAGATTCCTTCCCGGGCAGGAAGTTATTAACTTCTCAGAATGGGACCATATTCCCTGGCTCCTGAGGCCTCCTTCAGTACCTCACACAGGGTCAGGAGGACAGCATTAGCCTCAGACTATGAAATGCAAGGCGGTAGGTAACAAGGATGAAACCCGGCCTGTGAGTTCACACATCTGGGGCAAAGTTCAGTCTGTAAGAAAACAACAAAGTGTTGCTGCTCTGGACAGGGTCCAGAACATTCTTCTGTAAGGACTGTCGTTGAGGAAGAGCCATTGAAGTGACTGTGAGGGACTCAGCAGTGGTGCTTTATGAAGCCAAAATACGTTGGTTAAGCTTAGAAAAATGAAGACCTGCAAGAGTGCCGTAGCTGCCTCTGGAAATTGGAAGACTCTTGTGGGAAGGGAATTCTGTTAGTGCTGCAGCACAAAATTTGGGCCCATAATAAGTGACCTACAAGGAGTTGAAAGACTTTGGTTATTTGACTCCACACAGGAACACTCTTTCTAGTAATTTAAGCCAAAAAAAGGTAGAACAAGCAGACTTACAAAAGGGTGAGTGTCCTGGTTTCAGTGGGGTGGCACTGACTGGACAGACGGGGTGGTATCTTGGAGAGGAGACCCCCACATTGCGTAAGGTGTTGGACTAGATCGGTGGTTCTCAAAGAGACCAGGGCCTGCTCTATTACGATTACCTGTAGCATTTCCTATACATGTGGGTCTAGGGCTATAACAGAAGTCTGAATCGGGATGTCTGGGGCTAGGGATCGGGAGAATATATGGATTAAAATAAACAATATTCTCAGGTGGTTCTGATACTCATCCAGACTCGGTAATTAACAAAATAGTTAATCTCTAAAGCTCGTTACAGTTTTAGATTTTCCTGGTAAGTAGACTTCATGCCATGTTATTTGACCGTCAATATTTGCATTCACGGGCTGACACAGAAAGTGTTTAAATCTGAAAAACTGATGTACAGAATAAGAATTATGATGGTACGCGTTGTTGAGACTGGAGATCAGGAAGGACTTCTTTTTCTTTAGATACTCTTTTTGCTCCCTTGGTTTAGTTCATTTCAGATGAGTTTCGATAAGGAGTGAACAAAATCTTTTCCAACCCAGGATTTTGAAGCAAACTCTGTTATTGTCTGAGCCGATCAACGAACAAAGACAATAAAACTTGAAGGCTATTTTTAGACTTAGACTTGGAACTAAACTGTATAGATGGGAGGCACATCCCTGTCTTTATGGTACAGATGTGTAAAGCTAGGAGCTAGGTTTGCATGAGGATTTGTGGGCTTTTGTTTGGTTGGGTTTTTTCCCCAGCGTTGCAGAAATTTTTGTTGTTCCAAGGCACTCACTAGAATGTGCCAAGGGATGTCAGGGCAAGTGAAAGACTTTAGCTGGGGCGATGAGGAAATAAGAAGTTGTTAAGTACAGAAAGGAAAATTGATGGAGAAAGGAGAGAGAGAGAGCAGGGCATATTCTTGGGAAGTGACGCAGGTGTGATTCAGGAGACATATCCTGGGTTGTGGGCGTTCGGACTAGATAAGAGCACAAAGGAGACCTGGCTATGCCATAATACCATTTAAAAATGCTCAGGGTTCCTGGGTTTTGTGTTAGACACCAACGAATGAGCCGAACTCAGGGTGAAGAAGGCTACCTCATGGTCATTAGGAGCTGGGAATCTGAGCCTTCTTGGGAGGTTTTAGAAGCATTGGGATCCGAACTGGATACTGAAACCGTCCTCCAGGCAGAGCAGCCAAGGAAGAAGCGGTGCTTGTGGTAGGGCAGCATTCCAGAGGAATGTTTCACAGAAGGCCGGGACAACGCTCATTAGGAGCAGCTAGTGACTAACTCTTCAGCCATTCGCTGCTCTCCCAGTCACCAGACATCTCAGGTGGAGCTGTGCCTTGGCATCTGGGAGAGCACCTGGGACCTGCCACTCAGAAGGGGAACAGTTAGTCTTTGTGATGCCCCGCAGAGTAAGATATTTGCATAGATTAGAAATGGGAGTCTGTCTTTCATTGTGCGCAGCCCGTTGGAGGAGGCAGCCATTCAACCATCTGTGCTTAAAAAATAAGCCTTTGTCTGAAGCCAACCAAACTTGTTTTCACCCAACACATGTTTGCAAGGGTTTGGCCACTTCTATTTGAGAATAAAACAGGTTCTATAGCATTAGTAGGGCCCAGCCATTTCTGCTTTGTGAATAAGGGCAAAGAGTTTAGAATGAGTACTCTGGTTGCTTGGCGGGGGGGTGTATGTGAACCCACATATATGAAGACCCATAGCAGTGGAAGGAGGACGTATATAAAAGTTGTATATCCTGGGGCGCCTGGGTGGCTCAGTCGATTAAGCCTCTGCCTTCGGTTCAGGTCATGGTCTCAGGGTCCTGGGATCAAGCCCTGCATCAGGCTCTCTGCTCAGCAGGGAGCCTGCTTCCCCCTCTCTCTCTGCTTCTCTGCCTACTTGTGATCTCTGTCTGTCAAATAAATAAATAATCTAAAAAAATAAAAAATAAAAAAATAAAAGTTGTATATTCCATCTCTTGTCCCCAGAAAATCCCACCCTTGAAAACTTGCAGGTTGATAGACTACTGGGAACAACACAACGAAAATTTGAGAATGATCTTGATTGTAAACTATCTCAGAAAGTGGTTAACTTTATTAAAATTATCAGGGACAGATTTTTTAGATTAGAAAATTGAAAATGATCACATCCAGACTTTTTAAAATTAGAACATTGAGAAGCTCTGCTTTTTTTTTTTTTTTTGACATTAATTTTGACATACTGTGTTTCATCTCATCTCCTGGATATGATTTTTGAAGAACAAATCTCCTCAGAAGGACATCTTCCAAGATGCTGTGATTGAGTTGGAGAAGAAATGGACAATTCAGGCCCTCCCTTTAGGTGATAATTGAACAAGAAGACGAAAGAGATCAAAAGGAGAGCACACACAGGAGTCCACATAGAAGGAAAAAAAATTTCTTGATATTTTTACAGAAGTGTGAAAAAGCTGAGACAAAGAACACACTAGTAGACAGATGGAAGATGAGTCATGAAACCATAGGAATTACAGAGATTAAGACCAGGGTTTGTTAACCCCACTGCAAACTAAGATGCATTACCTTGGGGCTTTGAAAATGTCAGTTTTCCCACTTTGGTTAAAATGACTCAAGGGATGGGACCACCATAATTTTTTCCATGTTGCTTTGTCTCTCCAGCTCTTTTCTGCCTGCTTCCCTGTTCAGCAGAGGGACTCTTGCTAGCGGTTCTCTTTTCCCCATTATGTTCTCCTCCTGACTCAAAGGAAAGATTTTTGTAATGTGTTTTAATGATTTGCATAGCAACGGGCTCCATATAAACACGGGGTTTTCAGATTTTTCTGGACACAGAAAGAGAAAAGATGGTTGGTGAGAGGTGGAGAAACCCTCTGTCAAACAGAAGGATCCTTAATAACAGCGAGGGGAAGCCAGAAAGCTGCTGGCTGAGGTGACTGCTTTTAGTTTAGGGCTGGGGGTTTTCCAAGTCTTTCTGCAGTGAGGAAGTACCTATTTAGTGCTTTTAGTACTAAAGAGAACACTTCGAAGAGAGAAGTTTTTTGCAGGGCGAATCTAGATTTCACAGTGTAAGCTACTGATGGTATGCCACAGTTTCTAAAATTTTAATTCCAGGACGTTTTCCTTTCACCGAAATACATCTGTCTTTGTATCACTCCCTGGTGAATGGTGCATTTGCACGGTGCCAAGGAGCTTCTGCTGGTCCTAATGAAGTCAGGTAACCTTTCCTTCCTACCCAGGACAGGTCTGTGGCCTGCTGGTTCAGGGGATGCTATCTGCCGTCCTAGAGGCAAGTGCTGTATGGAAGCA